ACGATCTATATGTATACTCGTAGAAATGCTAACTCAATAGCTAATAAATTAGTTATTTTAATTTTTTTTATAAAAATCTCAATGTTAAATGATCTGACGTTAAAATAACACTTCTTTTTGAAGTCAATTTTTTTAAATCTTCAATTTTTTCAAAGGGTTTACACATGTCAAAGTGAATTTAGACATGGTAATCAATATCATTTACATTTCCAAAATTGTAAAAAAATTAAATATAATTTTATCTTAATTATATAAAATTGATAAATATTCATTCATTCACATTATTCGTCCAATATAAATTTTACGCGATTCATAATAAATAACGATTGACCTAAAAACTTTTACCGCAATATTTATATTAACCAATATTTAACCTCAAATCTTTACATGTAATATCGAAATAAATAATTAATATTGAATGTAAAATTAAAAAATAATTTAGAAAAAATATTTAAATAATATTTTCCTATTTTTTTACATAGTAAAAAAAAACAAAAAGATATTCATAATTGTTAATGATTGGAACATTTGACCAACCAAAATTTTGGCGCAATTTTTTTTTTTTTGCCGACCACCGTAACGGCGGCGGCCTGTTGACACCGAAATTTTCGTCAATCGAAACCCTAAATAAATAAATAAAATTATTATTTATAGTAAGCTTATAATAATATAGCAGTTTTCTTATTTAGTATTTAATTAAAATTAATTAATCATTTCCAGCTATTCTTCTTCATCACTCCATTATTTTCAGGCAATTTTTTTCATACACAAATCCACAAAAAGCTCAAATTTTTTTTATATATTTGTTTCTTGGGATTTGATCTTCTTGATTTTTCCAGTTTTTTTGGAGGTGGGGTTGTTTTTTTCTTGCTTAAATTTCAATTTTTAATCAATTTTGGTTATGATTAGTTTATGAAAAGTATTATGGATTAAAAAAATATTTTGATGGCTGCTGTTATTATATTGATATTATCAATTTTATTGGGTTTATCATCATTAGTTACAAGGAGGAGGAGACCATCTTCAATAAAGGTAGAATCTTTAGTTTATGGTTTTTTGATATTTTTGGATTTTTTATGATTCTTGATTTGTTTTGGGTTTTTGTCACTATGTTGTGTTGTGGGTCTGTAAGTTATTGTGTGAAATGAGTTAGTTTGGATTTTTGTTAGTTATAGTAGTTGTTAGGATTGATGATGATATGATATGAGCTTAAATGAAAAAATCGGAATTCATATAGCTGATTCGAACTTGTTTGGGGTTGTTGTTGTATAGTAATTGTGAGAATTCCAGCTATGTGAGGTTTTATAAACATAGTTTACTTTTTAGTTCAAATAAAGGAAGATAGTTGTGTTAGGACAAATATATACACAAGATTGAGGCAAAGTTGAGTCTTCTGAGTATACAGAAAATTGGTATAACTGATCTCAACTAGTTTGGTATTCAGGCTTATTTGATTGAGAGTGATGATAGGGAATGATTGTGTTGGGTTTTGAGTTGACTTTTGTGTTGTGGCTAATGATAGTAATTTGATGTCTTTTATGATGGCTTACTGTTGGACTTTCTCAGTGTTGGGGTTTGTACTTTATTGATAATGATAATGTTTAATAAATATGGTCTGCTGCTTTTTAGCTTTGAGAGAACAATATTTGACTATGTATCTCTAATTGCATTTACACGTATGAGTGGTGACATTTGAAGGTATACTATGTTTCATTCTTTGGCTAATGAAGCAAAGAACATGTATTTTCCACGTCATGTGATCTTTTCTCGTTAGCAATCGAAGGAAGGGGTAGATCATGTTCTATTTTTCCAAATCTTTCAAGATCCACATCTGTGTGATTTAGATGAACTAAGCCCCCCTTCTTTTCTTGGCAGTTATCATACTGATACAAATTTGCTGTCTGTGTTGTCTCGAACATGGTGTGAATGATGTTCTGCACTTCTCTAGTTTAAGTTTTAAATGCTGTCAATGGATATTGCTTGCTTGGGTGATTAAATGTAAGTCATGCTAGATTCGCTATAAACGCCACTCTGAAAGGCATATGGTTTCTAGAGCTTTGATCTTTGAATTTTTTCATTGGATTGTTTGTTTTGTGCGGAGGGATGTAGCCATTTGTGTGCAAGAACTAAGAACTTTCATTAATGTGTCTTTGCTTATTTTAAAATGCTTCTGTTATCGAAGGCATTATCTTATTGCATCAGAGAACAGTAATAAGTTCCTAACAACATTCAATGTGATTTTGGAAAACATGATTTGTATCTATTTTGCTCTTGTAGACATAATTGTTGATCTGGAAAACTAACAAAATTCTCGTCATGTCTGCACAGTGCCTGGTTTAATCAACCAGACTGGTTAAGGAGTTGTTGAAACAGATGGAAGGGAAGCAGCACACACCAAGTGTTATAGCAAGGCTGATGAGCCTTGACGAGCTTCCACCTCGGCAGCACCTCCCTGTTAAGAGAAGGAGAGTACTCTCTCAGAACTATCTCCAGAAAATGGCTTCTATAGGTTTGCGAGAGAAGAGTTCATTTTCTGTTGGCCTCTCCCGTGGAATAAGCACTCAGAAGCATCAAATAGTTAAAGATGTATCTGCAGCCAAGTTGAAGATGCGGAAATATACTAATTCGAGTGTTACTCCAATAAAGGAGAAACATTCTTATCTTATGGACTTCGAAGGCACCTCAGAAAGTTTACTTTCAACCAAGCATTTGCGTGATCTACAGGCTTATAAACCCTATTGCCATCCAGTTCACTCAGCTGTCGCTAAATCGATATGCAAGATGTCTGCTAAGGCTACCGCTAAAGAAAAGAATTTGAGATCTCTTCACACACTTGAGATTGGTTCACCTAAGGATGACATTGGAGAATGTTCTATTCATCACTTGAAGAAAATAAACTTTCAGCTTGATCCAAATGAAAACATGCCTCATCCGTCTACAAGAGTTATTGTGGTCAAACCTAGTTCTGGAAAGTATCGTAAAACCAATCATCAGTCAGTTTCTCTTAGGCATGGTTTGCAGTCCGTTCCCGTTGATCTGAAGTACAAGAAATTCGCCGAACATGAAAATGGGGCAGTACATAATGAGAGACCAGGAAGAGCAGAAAGCATCAGTGACACTTTTCTGAAGGCCGAGGCTCTAAAGCTGCCTTCTTCAAAATTATTTAGTACACAAAGAAAAGATAATACACTAAATTTCTTTTCAAAGAGATCTTCTTTTTCGAAAGAAGTCAAGAAGCAAACCATTGAAAAATGGAAGCTGATGAATGGTCTTCAAGAAGTTGAAACAACTTGTAGAAGCCAAAATCTTGGAGAAATGCTTGCTACGGATGACTTAGAAACTAGGCCTCAATTTTTGGACTCCAAGCGTGACTCGCAAAGGTTTTGCAGTTCATCCAGTGTGAACACTCAGAACTCAGGCTCGTGCAGCAAGGATTCGCTAGTTCCAAATCATTCTGCTGGTTCTAGGATAGCCTCTGGAAGTTCTGAAGGTATGATCGGCCATAAAGCTTCTCTATATGGCTGGTGTCCAAGGCAGAAAGTAGCTGGTGCTGAGAAACATTCCAAGTCCATGAACCAAAAACAGAAAGATAATATGGAATATAGAGACTTGAACTTGAAAGAAACCGATCAGCGTAGTCCAAATTCAGTTCTGGAGCCACCTTTCCAGGAAGAGGAACCCTATACCTCTGCGTTCCACGGCTTATGTAGTAAGTAAACACAAACCTTTGTTAACTATTTCTCAATAAATTTCATCCGATCTTATTTTTGTATTTCTAAACTTGTAAGGTGTAGCACGGCAACTTCAGTTTCTTGAGACCAACTCTGAGGAAACATATTCAGAAGGATCTGAAATGGGTGTCTCAACTGATGGAGACTCCGAGACTGGGTCTCCAGATCTCCTTCAAGATAGTGAAAACATTTTGAAAGACTTCAAAACTGCAGATGGCCGGGACTTCTCCTACCTAGTTGATGTTTTAGATGAAGCCAGTTTGCACGGCATAAACCTAGGAATGTGTTTTGAGACATGGCATTCTCTGGAATATCCCGTGAATCCCTCAGTGTTTGACTTGTTAGAGAAGAAATACGGGAAACAAACATCTTGGCTAAAATCAGAGAGGAAACTGCTGTTTGACCACATAAATTCAGGGCTAAGTGAGATTTTGCATTCATTTCTGGAGATCTACATAATGGGAAAATCTTTTAAGAGAAGGTGTTGTTCTACAATGAGGAGAACTGATATTGAAGAAGAACTGTGGAGGATGCTGGTTAGTCATGAAAATGAAATACGCAAGGACTTGTCTGGGAAGGCAATTGGAAATGAAACCAAATGGTTGCAGGTCGAGGAGGAAATTGGTAGCATATGCAGAGAAATAGAGAAATATTTGTTGGAGGAGCTAGCTGCAGAATTAGCTTCGCATTGAGAGTGTATAAAATGGGATTTGGCTGCTAAGTTTTCCTTCTACTTCCCTCCTCAAGTTACTGGGAATAGATATAGTTTTTTTTCAACAGCATTTTTGATCTGAAAGTATAGGATGTTGTGTAGAAAATCTGAAAGACGTGGCACTGTTTATTCTTATATTCATTTAGACATGGTGTGCAGTTCTTGAAGGATCATTTTTTCTATAGATTATCACCCATGCTTATGCATGAAGATACATGTAGAAAGATTTGGTGTAAACAACTAAATATCAATACTATTGATATATTTTTGAAGGCTGAGAGCCAGAAGTTAAAAAGGAGTTATCGTTGCGCAGGTGTTTGTGCTATTAATTCTTGCTTTCAGTTTACTATTTAAGGGAATCTTTCTTTAAATAATGCTACAAACTACTTTTCCCTTGTGCCTGTTTTTCCTTCTACAGCTGTATTGGTGGAAAAAGCTTCCAGGTATAAGATTTTGGTAGGTCTTTCATTTTATTAGATATCTTTTCATATACACTGTTTAGTGTTTCATGATGTGTGATGGAAAAATGAAACTCCCAAGTTGAATACACATTTTTGTACTGAGTAAAAGAGGTCTGATATAGATCATAATATCACCAGTACATATAACAATTCAATTACATGCTTCAAAGTACGAAATATAAAGATTCAGAAATATAGCAAACATGTTGAATTAATATCTAGGGGACATGCTGTTTAAGGGGTGATGTAGACGGTAAAGTGGGTAATTGTCTCCAGTCCATCAGTTGTATGTTGGTCCACGTGAGGAAGAGTTTCGATGGTGGCAAATCCTTTAGCATTCTCATACTTGCCAGTCCCTCCTATGATGGCAATGTGAGAAATTGGTGTGGCTGTCCTGTGAATTCCGAAGAAACTAATAGTATCATCAACTTCATGATTATGTTCTCCATGGAAAAGTGTTGTCAAGGCTAAAGTGTGGCTGGTGCCATCTGAAGAACTTGTCAGGTAAAATCCTTGTGCCCTCCCGAGTACAGATGATCCAAGCTCATGCCCCTCTGTCAATTCATTGTCAACGACAGTAATAGAGCCAAACATGAGCTGCTGAAGCGATAAACCAGAAGGAAGCTGCCCGGCTGTTACAAAAGGTTGGGTATCATCACCAGTAACTACATCGTTGTTTCCGCTGTTTTGCAGGACAGTGTTAGCTTGTTGCTGACCGTTAAGGCCTGCAAGGAATGGATAATTGTTGTTGTTGACGATGTTGTTGATGTTGTTCAAAGAAACTCCTCCATTGATTGGGAAGATTTGATTGTTGAGCTTGGAGAAAGGCAGATTGTTGGCATCGGAAGTAGCTACAATTCCAGTGACCACTCTTCCTGAAGGAAGCGAACCACCAAGAATGTCATGCATGAAAAAGGAGAATGTGGGGTGTTCAAGGATGGGACTTTCTACTTTGGCGCCTGAGGTAGCAGCTCCTGTGGTCCCACCTGGGGCTGCAGTGGCGACTCCTGGTGTTTTGGTGACAGGGGCAGTTACTGGTGCTGCATCAGCAACAGGGGCAGTTACTGGTGCTGCATCAGCAACAGGGGCTGCTCCATTATCTGTTAAGTCAGCAGGCGGAGTCGCTGACGCAGCAGGGGCGATGACAGGGACTGAATCTGGCTCGGGGTCAGCTGGTAAAACTGCTGGAGGAGCCACTGTGTCTGCAGGGATGGAAGGATCAGCTACTGGTGCCACATCAGAATCAGGAGCGGTGACAGTAGCTGGTAATTGGTTACTCGGCAATGTGGTAGCTGGGGCAACCACAGGAGCCACAACAGGCTCATCAATTTCTGACGACGCATCTGCCACTTGGCTCACTTCATCAAGGATTCTTGCTGAACTGGCACAGTCAAAGGTGAGGACTAGCAGAAAAATGCAGATTGTGGCTTGGAGTGTTTTCGAGGTGAGTTGGGAAACTTTCGCCATCTTTTCTTAAAAGCAGTGCTAGAGTGAGATATTGAAGGCAAATGAAGTTGAGTAGATGCTTAACTGATGAGGAAAGACTTGATCCTCAATGGTTATATATAGCTTTATCACATCCTAATATAAAGTGGAGCTGATAAGGTGGTTTTGGTAAGGAGTGATCTTATTTTGTTGCAGAACACCAAATCCACTTGGACATCAGGTTTGGTTGAACCAACTCTGAATTATTTATTTTTTTCTGATTAACTAGTTATCTCTTTTTTTTTAATAACCGTGGTGTCCGAGCCAGCTTTTGTGAACTTCAACTAATTCCACGGATACCTGTCACCTCCCACCAACAACATGTATCAGTTAACTTACGACAGATGTTCGTGTATAGATATACTATGGACTTCACAGAAGCTTTCATCTTTTCAACTTCTACAGGCAGAGTTGCCATGTCTCGTTCTTTCTGTTTTTTCGAGCTTAAGAAAAATTCATAATTGCTAGCTGCAGAACGCAATTTAAGTTTCCTTCATAGATGATAAAATATTAAAATTTATCAGTAAATCTTGTTGAAGGCAGAAGAATACTCTGTGAACTTCACAGAATTCTGAAAGAAATGAGTTCCTAAACCTCAGAATTCTCCTTACGTATCCTAAACCTGATATATAGTATAAAATTCGAAGGATTAAATTGTTTTCTCATAAATAGCACATCTTCAAGAATCCTCATATATGTATTATCTATTCGTCCTCCAGCACTATTTGAATGTGCTCCTAAATTGGTCTGTTAACTGTTGACTTTACGAATTTGGTCAGCTGATTTAGCAATACTATGTCTGCCCCTACATTTTCCTTTGAATCTGAGCGGAGAAAGCAGTTTTGCCTATGCATGACTTAAACTTGATTTGCTTATCTAGTAAAATGTTTGTAGTCGGAATTTATGTGAGTTTCGATATAACTTTGAGAACTGTGTAAGATCTGTGCATTTTTCTTGATGAAACACTTTGAAAAAGTTCATTGTGACACTAATTGTAGTTTGTGTAAACATCTCCCTTTGTATTGACAGTAACAAACAATCAATATTACAACAGAGAAAGAAATTGCGAATTACAGTTCGATGATTACTCTAGCAAGTTACTAACTTTAACCAAGATAAACATTGATTGAAAGAATCTTGTATGCTTCTTCATTTTTGTTAGATGTTACATTGACAATCTTGACAGTAGCATAGCCATTTGCATCATGATACTTTCCGGTTCCTCCTATTACTGCTATATGTGATTCAAAAACATCGCCCTTATGCACCCCGAAAAACCTTAAACTATCTTCATACTCATTACCAAGAAAAGTAGTAGTCATCGCCATCATATGACTGCTACCGTCTTCTGAACTTGCTACATACATTCCTTGAGCTTTTCCCATCAAAGATGAACCGTAAATAGAACCTTTGTATATGTCCTCATCGATTGTTATTACTGTCCCTAGTTCTAATTCTTGAAGTGTAGCTATAGCTGGGAACGTCATGCTGATTCCTTCCAGATCAAGCGTGTGAGTCTGCAATCCGTTCATTCCAACATTTGGGTTTGTGTCGGTCAAGGGAATGCCTCCTAAGGGAGGGAAATAGCCTAATGGTTTCGAGAAGGGAAGTTGATGATGATGACGACTATTTACTCTTGTTGATGCAGGTCTTGATGAAGGGTGTTCTAGATTAAGAACATCTAGCATGTAAAAAGACGTTTCATGGCGTTCATGATGATGATGATGATGATTGTTCGTCGAGGAAGGATTGTTATTCAGAGTTCTAGCTGAAAATGATTGATTGCTCAATGTCAAGAACAAGAACAAGAACCAAAAAATGATTAGTTTGGTAGAAGACTTTAGCATCTTGATTGTTTGCAGAAGAGATTTCAATTAGGTTCTTTGAGAATTAAGTGGAAAAAAAGGGGAATTCTCTAATAATATTTTAAAACTTTTGAAGTGGAGTTGTTAATGTATTAATGAAGTAGTTAAACTTGTTATGTTAGTTGACTTCTAAGGTCCTAAGGACCATTATTTCCTATCAAGAAAGTATGAAGAAGAAAAAAAATATTTCTCTTTTTAATTTATTAATCTGATTTTGACTTATACGGAGTATTATAGAAAATAAATAATATTTTCAAATCTCGTAATCTTAAATTAAAAATATGTAGAATATACTAAAATGCCGTTTGATTTTGTGATCTTAACAGGTCTCAAAGGTAGGAATTCCTTGTAGATAATGAAGGAAGTTCGGATACTTTTTCGCTCTCAGTTATTATTGTAATTAACGAGCAATTTCACTTTCAACAATAACAACATGCTTAGTGAGACCCTCACTTTGGTATGAGGAGAGTCGAGTGTACGTATATCTTATCATTATCTCATGAAGATAGAGAGGTTGTTTTCGAAGGACCCTCGGGCTCAAGCGCATCAAATACAAGTAAAAGAGAAAGAAAACAATGGTGAATAATACAGTGTAGAACCTACAAGAAAGAAATAATACTAGCAACAAATTAATGTGAAAAATGAATCACAATACACAATATATGATGATCGGTAACAAAAGCTAGGCAAGACAACACTCTACCCCTACTAACCTTCTATCGTATTACGCAACCTCGACTCCTTTCTATCTCGAGGCATCTCCCCCGTAATATAAAGTTGTGTCATGTCCTCTCTAATCACCTCCTCTAATACATTTTCGACCTACCTCTATCCTTTTGCGTACCCTTAATTACAACCAACCTGTTAAACCTCCTCCATGGGGTGTTTGCGCACCTCTTTTTTACATGTGGCACAAATAACATTTCGAGATTCAATCAAATACCGTTTATCTTTTACATATTCTAAGTTGTTAATTATTATGATTTATAAAAAACAATTACGTTTTTTTCATTTCAAATATTATATGCTACTCTTCTATATCGATTTACGTGGCACCGATATAATTTCAAAAATCATTTACATTTTTTGTCTTTTAAAAGTTTAAAATTGTTGATTATTGTGATTCACATTGCTTTTTATAAAAGAGATGAATTGTTGTTTATAAAGTTCTTACTTGCCTCTGCACCTCTACTCGAGAAGGCTATACTTACGGTAAATAAAAGTGTTGAACAAAGCCAATCGTTGAAAATGACAAAGGAGTTGATGAGGCTCCCTCGAGCATCTCCTAAATTAGAGATGATATATGAATCGTGGTCAATAGAACGGAGCCAGGATTTTAAACTGTCTATATAACTATACTTTAATAAATACTCTTGTGTATTTTAATTTGCATGTCATAGTTTGAATTTTAAGATCAAACTTTTATTACTCTTTGATCATGAAATTCAAATATTTTTCACTTTATATGAAATTTATGGAGTCGGGTAACGTTTGTATGACTTGAAAAATAGTACATTTTTATACATTCCATTTTATTACAATAATCAATTTGACTAACTTTTCTAAAGCTAAATTGATTCAATATTTTAAATATGAAATTTAGATATTTAAAAGGTATTCGAAAAAATAACAAGTTGCAATCCTTCTAATATTAATAACCGAAGAAATTCAAATTGAAGGTCCAAACAGAACTTTAGATTTATATCAATTTGATTTCAAATCATAATTTCATATCGCTGGAATAAATACTTCATATCATTTTTTGATAGAAATAAATCAAAAACTAAAACTATATGCATGAAAAACTCATACACAAACAGTTACTAGAAGACACAAGCTTTGACTCTACAACAAAACTAGATGGTAGAATGCTCAAAGCCAACAGACCTTGTAGACATGTTTAGTTACCTCTAATTAGGGGTCGCGGGATCCCAATCATCTCACCATACCCCTCGATGGTAACCTATAGATAATCTACTCGCACCATAGTGCGTAAGACAAGAAATGAACAGCTCCATCGAGCAACTACTTCCGTGGAGAGTAGTAAACACATCATTGCATATCATTGTTTCCTAGCAAGTCGAAAACTATATGCAGAACATTTCAATAACTTGTACACGGATAGCTACTACAAGATGTAAGCTTTACCTCTCACCAACCTAGATGATAGAATGCTCAAGCTAAACAGACATCATCGGCATGCTAGTTACCTCCTGGGATTCCGATTCCACGACAAATAAGTTGGATCTCCAAGTTGCCTTGGCTTAAACTAGATACACAATCATGAAAACCATAGCCAGAGAGAAACACAATCCACCAACAGTAAGATAAGCAACATCATCAGTCCAACTAGTTGTAGAAAGCACAAGCTTCTTCTTGCCCTCGAAACTATAAGGTCACGTTTATAATCTACTTGCACCACAGTGCGTAAGACAAGAATGACGACACTTCTCAAAGGAAAAGTACTTTCATTACATATGCAGAACATTTCATAAAGAACTTGCGCACACAAATTAGATATTAGAAGACACAAGACTTGTATCTCACCAAAATAGATGGTAGAATGCTCAAGCAAACAGACTTCATGGGCATGCTTGTTAAAACCTGTTTCTGATTCCACGATAAATAAGTTGGCTTAACTAGATACACAGTTATGAAAGCCATAGCAAGAAAGAAACACAATCTACCAACTGTTAGATAAGCAATACCAAAGAAAATCGTTCTTTCCACCAATCCAGCTAGCTGTAGAAAGCACAAATTTCTTCTTTCCATCAAAACTATACGTAGCGTAAAAGTATTGCAACATCACATTTATAATCTACTGGCATCATTCAAGTCCTTTAAGCAATTACTTCCATTGTACATACATAATTTTGGATAAACACTTAACAAAGGGAAAATACTTCATTACATATCATTGTTTTCCTAGCAAATTGAGTTTAAAAGTATATGCAGAACATTTCAAAAAAAAAGAACTTGTAGACAGATAGCTGCTACAAGACACAAGCTTTGTCAACATCAACCTTAGATGGTAAAGCGCTCAAGCCAAAAGACTTCATTTGCATACTAGTTACCTCCCGGGTTCCGGTTCCACGACAAGTATGTTGGATCTCCAAGCTGCCTTGGCTTAACTAGATACACGATCGTGAAAGCCATGGCCAGAAAGAAACACAATCCACCTACAGTAAGATAAGCAATACCAAGAAAATC